TCATAAAATTAAGACAAACGTCTATATATACTCACCGCCGTATATCTCATAAAATCAAGACAAACGTTTATATTTACTCGCCACCGTATATCTCATAAAATTAAGACAAATGTTTATATATACTCACCACCGAATTGGACAAAGGCGATGAGTGCAGGGGAAAGGTGCTCGCATGCGGCCCTTGCGATGGAGGCGCCGTGCTCTGCTGGGGTAGACAATTAAAGAGGAAAGAGTCATCCTGTACTTTGAATGCTGGTATGGTATGAGTGTGTTGCGCTAGAGCATGGACGATTGGGCCACTGCGTCATCACACACACAATTCTTGGCTCAAGCGGTAGTAATCAGCTGACAAGACAAGACAAGACAAGACAAAACAAGACATCAGCACTCATACAAGGGAGGACATAAATATATACATACATACAATACATCGCATATACACATACAAACATATACACATACATACAATAACCACATGTACACATACATCACATATATACATACATACAATACATCACATATACACATACATACAATACATCACATATACACATACATCACATGTATACATACATACAGTACATCACATGTACACATACATCACATATATACATACATACAATACATCACATATACACATGCGTACAATACATCACACATATATATACATACAATACATCACATATACACATACATCACATGTATACATTCAAACAATACATCACATATACACATACATCACAGATTTACATATACCAAGACAAAGCCACACTCATATAACCATAGGACCAATGCGCGGGAACCCAACACACCTGAATTTGCGACGTCTGCCTCGGATTTTGCGACAGCTGCCTGTTTCAATTGTGTCGTAAACTCTGTTTGGATGTCGGATGGAACGCAACCGGTAGATAGGATACCCGCCACACCATTGAAGAGCGTACGGCAGTCTAGTGCCATTTGATTGGTTGTCATGGCCTCCGCCACCGTTGCTAGGGTGTGGCCCAACCACATCTTGCTTAACAACGCATGGGAATCTATTTTTAGCGACACAGACGGGAGAGGGGGTGAAGCGACTTAGTGGTGGAAAATACATGACAACTTGACTGACAATTGAATGCCATAGGGTGAGAGAGATGGCAAAACACACGACACACACACATACAACACACGCATGCATAGACACAGACACATACAGACACACACATACACACATACACACACTCGCTTATACAGACACACAGACGCAAATGACACAGACCACACACACACACACACACATACACACACAGACGCGTAAACACGCGAGATTGAGCAGTTGGCATCATAGCACACTCACACTTAACACTTACCCGCACATGAAACGATGCACACTACTACAAGCATCCTATTACGCATGAAACAACAGAGATGCATGCATAACTACATACAACATGTCTGTGATACAAGTACACATGCACTGAGTCCCACAACTCTGCTAAAACACCTACATATACACATATACACATCCACATATAAACATACCAACATGTAGACACAAACGACTCATACACATGCGCAGCCATAGCGATTAACGCGTACGCCCAGCCGTACCTTCGCACTCACGCGCGTCTTTAGACAGATAGGCCAGAGCCTCCACATATCCATTGACCACAACGTTTCTCTGCGTATCCGTGGCACACACAGTCACACCCTCCCACGTGCAGGAGAGCCACTTGTCCACAAACAACACGTCTCTGCGCACGTGTGACGGTAGCACTGACAGCAACGGTACGCAGCACGGCAGCGCTAAGGCGGGCGAGCCATGGCCAGCGGACGACAGCATCTTCCATAGCTACAGGGCGTGGGGTGTAGGGTTTAGGGTATAGGGTGTAGGGTGTAGGGTGCAGAGTGTAGGGTTTTAGGATTAGAAGACGGGCGGAGTGCCAATGGAACGTCGTTGCTGTGAAGTATGTCCTCATACAACACGTGTGGTCTAAGCATATCCTCATACATTCATTACATATGTGGTCTAAGCATATGCTCATACATTCATTACATATGTGGTCTAAGCATATCCTCATACATTCACTATATGTGCGGCAATTCATCCACGACAGAAACTGTACTGCATGCACTACACGGGATAATGGGCGCGATACCCACGAGAGAAACCACACCGAACACACGAGAGAAAGACACAATCGACACGCTTAGAACTCTTGTATATATATATATATGTGTATGTATGTGTGTGTGTGTGTGTGTGTGTGTGTGTGTGTGTGTGTGTGTGTGTGTGTGTGTGTGTGTGTGTGTGTGTGTATATAGCACTCTATTTCCACACACCCCCAGGCCGTCTTGCTCCCTCCTCCTGCCACCGTGGAACGTACCTTCAAATGTGTTATGGCGCCCTTCTTGACCGTGACCCATATACAAGGCATCTGCTGAAGCACTGTGAGGTATGTATTCCACATAGCTGTCTGTAGCCCACTCTGCTTCTCCCCACACATTGACAGCACTGCCGGTGCGGCCAATGACATGTTCGCCTCAATGCCCTGCGCATACACAGCCAATGACAGCGAGAGATGGTAATGGACACAGTAGTAAGCTTAAGTAAAACCCCAAACCCTAAAATCGAAAGCCTAGACCCGAAAGATAGACATGTGAGCTTGCATGAGCATGGCTGGACAGGTGCGTTGGGAAGCATGCATCATGCACACGCTATGTAGGCAGACCATGACATGACCCTGGTACCGATATTTTGGGCTGTATATTTTTTTTGGGCTATTTTAACTCATTTTAGGATATTTCGGGAGGTTTTAATTACTATTTTGGGATTTTTGGGTAGTGATTTGGACATGTCGAAAGTCTATAAAGCGTTTGGTTTCTCTGGGAGTGGAAACCCTAAACCCTAGGATGGTGCAGGATCACTTGGGGAGTGGTTTGAACGTAATACAAACACAGTACGTGAAGTGTAGTTGCACCCACACCCACCGCTCACTTATGAGTCATCCACACGCTCTAGTCACCACTACACACGACACGCGTAACCTGCGCGTGTGTACTGAACAGCACACAACTTCAGCACGAGCTATACGTATACGTGCACAAGCTACACGTATACGTTTAAAGTACGACAACACCGCAGCACACCACTGCATAGCATGGCTGGTGGTCAGACCCTCGTCTACCCCCAACACAAATCACTGAAGAAACAGAAGACCTACTACATGCAACCAAGAAGCACCATCAGGGGCTAGGGTGTAGGGTGTGGGGTTTAGGGTTTAGGGTTTAGGAACATCTTCAGGTAGCAGCAATACAATATGTGTGTACTTATTCAACACACCATAACACAACAGCGCAGTTGTGAACTGTCAATGGCACATGGCCACATACCGTTTGGTCAGCAGAGACGGCACACAACAGCAGTGTATAGAAGCGACCACGTATCTGCAACAGGAAAAAGTGTTCTATTAATAGACATATGTGCTAAAAATAGAACTCGCCTACACATCCGAAGATAGGGGGGGGGGATATATAGCGCAGCAGAGACTATAAGTCTACGCATTGCGTACTCGCCTACAGGTTCGACCTGGTCGGAACAACCCAGTATGATCCCAAAACGTACTCTAGTTCTTACAAAACGTACTCGAGTCCCTACTAAACATACTCGAGTCCCTACTAAACGTACTCGAGTCCCTACTAAACGTACTCGAGTCCCTACTAAACGTACTCGAGTCCCTACTAAACGTACTCGAGTCCCTACTAAACGTACTCGAGTCCTTACTAAACGTACTCGAGACACTGATAAATGTACTCAGCCATCATTAGCACGCGTACGATGACACACCAAACTGCAGAACTGTGCCTGTTAACCCTGATAAGATTATACGTATAGCTACACACACTCCTGCCTCAATATACGTAAGCAGTCTATAGAGACAAATACGCGTTTGCCCACATACCAATGCATGAAGGCAAAACGTTTACTTATTGCCGTAACCATCAGCCACACAAGCAGAGTCTGATCTTTCGCGATGGCAACAATGGAGTACGCCCGCCAGGCAAACGCGTATACACAAGTAAAAGCAACACAACGCAAACATAGTTACTTCTATCACACACACTTATGTACAAGTCAAAGCAACACAACACAAGCATAGCTACTTCCATCACACACACACTTATGTACAAGTAAAAGCAATACAACGCAAGCATAGCTACTTCCATCACACACACACTTATGTACAAGTAGAAGCAACACAACACAAGCATAGCTACTTCCATCACACACACGTATGCACAGTAAAAGAAACACATCACAAACATAACTGCTTTTATCACGCACAAAATTATGCACAGTAACAGCAACACAACGGAAACATAGCTACTTCCATCACCCATACACTTATGCACAAGTAAAAGCAACACAACACAAACATAGCTACTTCCATCACACACACATACATGCACAGTAACAGCAACACAACACAAACAGCTGCTTTTATCACACACACACTCATGTAGTAAAAGTTACACAACTCTAACATAGCTACTTCCATCACACACACACTTATGCACAGTAAAAGCAACACAGCACATTCGCACACACACTTATGCACAAGTAAAAGTTACACAACGCAAACATAGCTAGCGATAGAGTGCTTGCATACACAACACACAACCGAGACACACAGATGGTGAACCTTCGCCAAACCAAACAGAAACACCCAACCAATGCACCAATGCACGCAGCAACTGATGCGTTACAGCCCCATACCTCTACGCTGTCCGACTGCAGAAGACTCCAGAACTTCTTACTGGCCACAATCTGATCCAGCAACGGCTGATAAGGAAAGTACAGGCGTATATGGTCAGTTATAGGTAACACACATCTCAAGTTATGGGGTGCACTGGCGTATGGCAGGT